AACTGTTACACCGTTTCAAATTAACCCCGAGGACTAACTGTTAGGCCCTTGCACTTGGACCCCTGGGTCTAAACGTTGCGCCCTTGGATTTAGACCTCTGGATTAAAGGTTTATCCTTTACATTTGGTCCCGAGCCACAAATCTCCGAAACGAAATTGTGGAGTTCAGGTTAAACGTAGCTTTATTGCCTCGTAGATACACATCGCATTCAAGGATGACTGAAGTCGAAGTTCCTGGGCGGTAGAATCCACGATAAGGCCAAATTCCGAAGAGTGCATTTGCGTCGACGATGGCTTGGACACTAGGACGTCTGCCCAAGCCGGTCGTGGTCCCAGCACCGTTTATTGGGGCACCGGCAGCTTCTTGCCTGTTTGAGAGGAATTTGGATTATTAGTAACAGGGCAGCGTAAATACCCAATCGCTTGACAAATATATGAGATATAAGTTATAACACGCGCATAATAAATCAACAAATAGGCTGCATAAGTGATACAATGGTTCACATCCAACATGCGATCTGTTGACAGCAGACCAGCGCAATATTAGATTTTAGTAGACCGTTCGCTGCGAATTACAGACCCAGCGCGTGCATGCTCAAACTATGCTTCAAAGTGACGGCACGATCTCCCGCCATCAACGCGAAAGTCTAGTGTACAATCGAATAAATGTCTCCATTAATGTCGGTTCTCACACGCAGCGAAGCGCGGATGTAACGCTGCTCACGTGTCATGAGCTACTTTTCGTCTGCCATGAGCAAGAGTTTTGTCGATGCGGTATACAAAGCTGGTGTCTAATCCCGTCAGCACGCGCTTAGCGCAAGGTCAGTGCTATGCCTGTAGCGCTCCGCTGCATGTGTGGACAGGCCTTATTCACACGAGGGAGAAATCCCGGGGATTTCTCCCTGACACGCGCATCCCACGACGAAAACGTCAGGCTTTGCGATGTGCAAAAGCCTCGCGTTTTCATCTCGTGATGCGAGCGTGCCGGGGAGAAATCCCCGGGATTTCTCCCTCGTGTGAATACCCCTTTATGGTCAAGCGATCTTGCCAGGGTCTGCGAAACACACACACAAAAAGAAATAAGCCATAGGTAGAACTGGTGTTTCGCTCGATACGATTGAATATGAGGTCTCGGTGCTGCATAACAAAATCAGCAACCATGGTGCCAAAAAGAATAGAGCATGGCGCGCGCTTTGCAAGCTAGAGAACGCGCTCAAAATAAAACACTTTCTGAAGCCGCAGTTAATAAATACACCATAAACAGAAGCACTTCGAGCTCCCTTGACTTGTGACTTCAGAACAGATCAAGTGCAGTGCTTCAGTACCGCGAATCCAAACCGGATCCCGCCATGATCGGAGACGACACAAGGCGACCAGCCTCCGACGAAGGCTGTATTTCGATTTTCAACTTACTAAAGAGGTTCTTTTCAAACAAAGACGCTTCCCATTTTCCCGACCGACCCCAAGGAGCAAAGAATGCGGGGTAGGGGATTGGGGGGGAGGGGGCAGTGCGCGCAGAAGATAATCTCTTTTCCCGCTCCCACTATTAAAGTGAACTAGAGGAGGGGTAGTGAGATCAGGCGCCGAGGCGCGCCATGCATTGCTGTGAAACGGCGCGCGTGGAAAGGTCCCGGATGTACGCGGTGGCGCTGCGGACGTAGTGGCTGTAGGATCCGACCGCCTCCGAGCGTTCCGAAGGCCCTGGGTGAGAAGAATTGGCTTGCATTTTTGGCAGCTCGAAGTGGCCCCCATTCTGAACCGCTTTTTATCCCGTGTTCCGTGTCTGCTGTCGTTTATGGTCATTGAAGTGCCATGCCGAATCGACGTCGACAACGCCACTACTTCGCTCCGGGGTGCCAGAGGGGCTATCAGCTGGCGGAAAGGTGAGCAGCCGTAGCTGTTCGCAGTGCCTTAGGAGGAAGAGCAAGGAAAAGTTTGGGAACGGAACTTGCATCGCCAGGATAAGCTCCTGGACGAAACGTGTTCGGTGTGTGAGCTTCATTTCGACCGATCGTTTATTACGCGAGACTTCGTTCACATTATAAACGATGAAGAGGTGCGCATTCCGCGCGGAAAGCCGCAGCTCTTGCCGGGCGTTGTACCGACAATGCTTCCGAATGCTCCGAGCTACTGATCAAAGAAAGCGTCACAGCCAAGGCCCACGAGAAAGTGAAAAAACGCCGATGCTTCTTCAGTTGACGGTAAAAAAAAAAAAGGCCACACACTGCCTCTCCAACTGCCTGCAGCAGCACTGCCAGCACCACACCGGCTGCAGCCGGTACCGGGGCGTTTAATGAAGCCTGTATGCCCGAAGAATACTCCACGCTGCGTGTCCCCTCCGAGTACTGGAGGAGTCGTCACCGAGCTCCGAGCCTCAGTGGTTTCGTGTATTGTAAACTTAAAATGTGTGACAATTAAGTTTTATCCGAGAGAGTAGTGATTTGTTCACGAGACAGCATGCCTGGTGTTGTATACACTGTTCATCTTTGTGGCTGAAGGAGGACGCGTCGTCAGCTGCGAGGAACCGGAGGTTCTTCGATCTCCGAGACGTCGTCTCCTATCGTCTCCGTGGAGGTGCCGTGCCGGCGAAAAATAGGTCCCGCGAACAATTCCGGTAAAATGTAAACACATTGGAACCTTTAGTGAGATCCCCCCGCGTCACGAAAATCAGAACCCGCGAATTATTTTGAAACTTCAGCTTCGACCTAAATCGCGAAATATTGAGCCTGCGAAAAATACGTCGTTTACAGTATTGTGTTTTTGCTGAATTTAACCAATAAAAAGTGTATTCATGTATAAATAACAGGATTTGCTGTCCCACGAATTCCTTTTGCCCAGTAGTATTTACCCAAAAGGTTTCTTTGGAATTGGCTTAACGAGACACATGATGGTGAATCAATAAAGGAGATTAAACCTTGGGGCTAGCTATGCACGGTTTCAATACTAGGTATAAAAGGAATGCCCTGTTAACAATTGCATGCCATTTTTGAGGCTTGAGCCGTGGTTGTTTAAATGTCTAGGAAACATCAATATAATCCTGTCTCGTAAATACTACAACTAGCCATTTATGCGCGCGAGTGAAGGACTTCTTGACCATTAAATAGCTTCACCCTATTTCTAATGAGAGACTCGTAAAAACCCACCCTCCATTAAAAAAAAAAAAAAAAAAAATTGCACGAACATTTTTGTTTTGAAACTTCGCCCGGGAAATTGAACTGGCGGTGTTCGCCTTCCACGTCGCGCATTTCTGCTTCGTACTCCGCGCATTAAAGCGAACACGGCCGGACGAATTGCGTCAATTTTGTGTCGCGTATTTATTTTATGGGGTTCAGACCTAAAACGAAAAACATTTCGAGCCGAAACGCTCCAACAAAGAGTGTTTAGTCGCGCAGCAAATGCAATGCGAGCCGCCCTGGCCACCCGCTTCATCCAGCCCATGCATTCGCGACGCCCTCTCGTGCCGTCGACACGAAGTGCGGCCGCCGTCAGCGCGCTCTGACCTCACTACCCCTCCTCTAGTTCACTTTACCACTATAGACCGTTTTATCGTGGGTAGCGCCATTTTGAGAGCGAGAGAGAAAAGGGGAAAGGGCGACCGGCGCTTTCCCCCTTTCTGGTTGTGTAGAAAGAGTGAAAGTCCCGGATGAGAGCCTTGGCCGGTGTTGGGTGTCTGCTGTGCCCCAACTTCGTGCGCACTTTCTTTTCTGTTTTAAACTCGCAAACTTAATTAGAGCCACGGGCTTCGATGGCAACAGTCCCCCGGTCATCGGGACACCATTGCTCGGTCATAGGGTGCACGAATAACGACAGAAAGCGTCGAATACTGCCCAAGGACCTATGTAGGTTGCAAGAAATCTAGCAAGGCAAGTGCGGCTGCAATGTTTTGAAGCTCCACCGCTTTCCGTATGACTGGAAATGATGAACCATTCATAAACTTTTACTAGCAATAGGCCTATTTCAACGTAGCCGTTTTTAGTAATGAACAAGCGATACACGAAACGGGAACCTCAATTAACTTTTGTAAACACCCGGAGCTGCTACAGATCGTTTTGCTGCGCTGCTTTTATCTTGCGTGTCCGTGTTCTTATATTTCCTTGTGGATGAACGACGAAGACGTTCTAGATGTGCTTATATCGAACCGCAGAAAGCCTCAAAGCAGTCACGAATTATTTTACTATTTGATGCAATATTTTGAGTACTAACCTCCAATTTCTATCACTGACACGTTCGCTGCGGCTGCTACCCCCGTCGCCGCACTGGCGGATGCCACGACTCGAACAAAGAAACGTGCACACTGGGCTCGAAGACGCAGATCGCAACACACGAGACATACTCTGCAGCGACTATCCAGCGCTTCAAAGCGCCCAATCAACGGAAACAACCCAAACAACCCACCAGCGGCACTCCAAGGAGCGCTTTTGCCGGCTCTCTGGTATCGCGCAGGAGATCGCGATTCAGGAAAACCTTTTCAACTACCTTTTCAACTACCTTTTCAACAATTTCTAGCCTCACCCGGCGACGGAAATAAGCCTTCAACTAAGTGTTGTAAATGATGAAATCGAGTCAGTCACCACTGCAAATTATCAATATTAAGATAAATTCAGTTACGAAATTTTACAAGCTGAAACAGCAATTATCACGAGAAAACTGGCACGCATTTTGCGAGCGTACCCGATGTGCATCGGCGGTACAGTGTTCGGTGCGCGCTCCATTCACAAGATGTTCCGTGCACAGTCGAGAGGATGGCGTTTAGGAAACGTCTTTTCGGTTTAAGCGGTATTCACACGAGCGAGAAATCCCTCCCTTTGCTCCCCGCGCTGCGTATCACGTGACAGAAACGTCACGCTTTCGCGCGGAGGCGCGGTGATGCAGCCCTCGCCGAGGGATGGGGGAGGTTTTGCTCGGGCTGGACAAACGGTCCCCGCCTTGGCGGGGGATTTCTGCGCTGTTGACGGTACTTTTTCGCCTGCCTGGCAACTTAACAGATTGTGCTTCGCCTGTTGCCGGCGGTGGCATCGCGATCGCCTCGTTGTTGTGCCGCTGCTCTGGCGTAGAACACCAAACATTTTTTCAACGATCTCTCGGACGATGGCGCGATTAATGATCAGTGATGAGGCAACTTTTCATCTTCTTTCGCTCGTTGAGCAGTACCCGTGTCTTTGGGATACCGGCAGCGCTGATTACAGCAAGACAAACCTCAAGACATCAGTATGGGAACATATCGGTATGGAAATGATGGAGCGTTTTCCCCAGTTCGGGCCGTACAGTGCAGGTGAGCGGACTTTTTTTGCTTTGTTTACTGAATGAATATGTGCATCGTTGTGCTCGATTTGTGAAACGTATTCTGCGTCGAAATGATCCCTGGGAATGTCGCGATCCCTTACGACTCGCTACAGGGAAGAGTTCCTGCAAACCAATCACACGCGCTAATTCTGAATTGAGTTCATACGTTGGAATTAAATTTTAGAACCGATTAATTTCGTGGCACACAGAGTAAAAGAAAAACATATTTAATGAACGGCATAATATAGCACACCTGGCCATGTGTTTTTAATGATAAATCAACAATATTTCAATAGCACGTTCAACGATTGTGCTAGAGATCAGTCAGAATGTAATTTGCCAGCTTTCATGCAACGTGGCTTGTCTCACTTTGTACACAGTTGTCATATTTGTCACACTAGCTTTGTTTGTGAGGCTCAGGTTGTCTTGGCAAGTTCTCAAGCAGAAGTTTGTTCTTTTATTTTTTTTTTTCCGCACAGATAGCCTCAAGCTACTGCTGAAGAACAAGCGGCGAACCTTCAGGGAGGAGAAAAAAAAGATCCTCCAAACAAAAAGCGGCCAACCATCAGACGACGTTTATATTGGGAAGTGGAAGTTCTATAGGGCAATGCTCTTCCTGGATGCCAGCGATGTAAATCCAGGGAAGCGTACATGCAGCGACAACTATGGAGAAACCATAGAAGAGGTGAGTGGAGCTTTATTTCTTAGACATCCCTGCATTCATTCATTGGGATAGTAACGCATAAACGAGGGAAATGCAAACATGTACATTTTAAAGGCAAGTTAATATATGACAACAAACAAAAGCAAAATAATAAAGATAATGAGATGTAGTTGAACATGTTTTTGAAGAACAGTGTGTTGTTACACGCTTTCCTTTATTCGAACGAACCACTGTTTCTACTGATTGCAGTCGTATAATTACAGGACTGCGAGGGTTCTGCAGGAGGCAGCGACGTTTCAACCCCCAGCACTTCGGTCGAGCCATGTTCTCCACCCTCCCAAGGGGACGCAAGTGCCGTCCGGTCATTGAAGAGAAAAAATGACTCGGAAACGCTGTCCCTGCTTGAGCAGCGCACAGCAACGTTAGAGAGGATGGCCCGATGCCTGGAGGAACCAGCCCCGGACGACTGTGCGGGATTTGGGTCCGTAGTTGCCCAATACTTGAGGCAAATGCCGATGTTGAAGCGGGCGAAGTGCGAGGCACAAATGATGCAACTAATAGTTTCCCATCTTGATGAGTGACGCGTTTGTGTAATCTGAGCACAAAATAAAAGAATCACTATCGATATTGTACCTTTAGAGCACCCGAAATTCCACACATTTGCAAAACACAGCATTCAACATGGTAGTCTCGCACTATGTCACATTCCTCCTAAGGTGGCTAATGTCAATGCCAGCGAGTTTGTCCTGCCAAGGCACGGCACCTTCTCTACTGAAATATTCGCAGAGCCTTTCTCGCACTGCTGCAGCAAGAGCTCCAGCTCGAGATTTCGAAGACTCCAGGCCGAAAAAAGTTTTCTCGGGAGCGGTTCCTTTGCTTGTCTCGGGTTGTTCGACCTGGCGTCTCTTCAAGAGATTGTGCAAGACACATGCTGCTTTCACCATTGTGCTCACCCTCTCCGGTGTAGCGTGCACAGTAGTTAAGAGGAAGCGAAATCTGTGCGCCAATATACCGAATGCGTTCTCTGCCACACGACGTGCCCTGGACAACCTGAAAAAATATTTAGTAAAGCAATAAGTTGCATTGAAAATCATCTCTACATATAATAGTTGTGCACTACAAATGCTTACGGGATCAAGACCAGGAAGAAAAGAAGACAGGCACAACTACCATATTTTCCGGTGTATAAGGCGCACCCCCCCCCCCCCCCTTTTTTTTCGCGAGTTTCTAAGTAACTATTAGTATATAAGACGCACCATCGAAAATTGTGGGGAAAAAGTTTTATACACCGGAAAATACAGTACTTTCATTCCCTTGGCTTCATCTTCCACAGGGACTTGAAGGAATGTGGTCAAGACAAATTACGTTTAGTGACCACAAATTTCACAATGTACACCAAGATTCTCTGGGCGATTGTCAACAGGGGCGAGTTAAAGGTTGGTGTTATAGTGGGACTCACCGATAATTGAAAATTTTTTGTGCCTTTGAAAGGTCGCTCCCACCAAATGGCTTCATGAGGTTCGGGGATAGTGGGAATGCGTCATCACCCACGATCACAGGGGGAAGCTGGAGGGTAGATGAGGCGTTCATGCTAATCATGTCAGGTAGCCCCGATCTCTTTTCCGTGATTGCTTTCTGCAGGGGGGTGGTCTGCCAGATCGCACCATCTCCCTTGGAGCCGGGCGTCCCGACATCAATATACGCAAACTTGCAGTCGGCGTCGACAAGTGCAAAAAGGATAACACTGTACGTTTTTTTGTAGTTGTAGTACAGTGTTCCTGACTTCGCAGGTCTTACAATGACGACGTGTTTTCCATCAATGCCGCCCACGCAGTTTGGAAACTGCCACCGATTGTTGAAGTGCTGAGCCAAGTCCAACCAGGCCTGCTCACAGTTTGGTGCTACCAGCATGTCACCCTTCAGTACATCGTAAATGGCGGCACACGTGCTGTGGATGATTCCGTTCACAGTGCTGTGGCCGACGCGAAATTGTCGGCTCAGCGAGTACTGGGATTCCCCTAGAAAAGAAAGAAACGCGAGTCCAAATTATTTTAGCGATACATTTTCATCCTTTTTGCGGACACAGCAGTGCTTTGTTAGCGTAAGTGCACTGGTTAACCAAAAGCCTTCCAGCATCAAGAACTTGACTGACACGCCGTCAAACACCAGAATACGACATCCTGACGACCTCTTAGTAAGTCGCTCGACCGTGTGCAAGAATTTAAGCGGACATATTTCATTATTTTAAGACGGGCTGCCGGACATACGAAATAAGGTAAACAAACAGGCTATGTAGTAGTAAGAACACACAAAACGAACAGATGGACGAAAATAAACATGTAGTAGCTTTGTAGATTTCTACGTGACGGTTCCGTTAAAATGCGTCGGTGGCCAGCGCCTTCACAGAACAGTCGCAACAGCATTAACGAAATCGGTTATTGTTTATGATAAATGGGTACCCACCAGATGCCAAGTAGCGCAGAGTCAATTGAAGACGAGTCTTCGCGCTCACGGGGCGCCTTATATTTGTATCTTGTTTCTCAATCCGCTGACGGATGCGGGACAGAAGTTCGAGGAAGACGTCGTAAGGCAGGCGAAGAAGTCGTCGATACTCATCGGCGTCGTTTTCGAGCAGCTCGTCGTACAATTGGTTTTGAATTCCGCGTTCTTTGTGCTGCATCCATTCTTTCACCCAGCACCTTTTTTTCGCTGGAAGAACTTCGTCGTCTTCCGTCTCTATCAGCGCTGCTGCCATAACAGCGTAGCGTCGTTTCAAGTACGCCTCCATTTTCCTACTCTCGACCGCGGCGCGCCCGCCCGACGATCCACGTGCGCCGAGCCTTGCTGTCGAGAGTGCGACCGCTAAATTCGTCTGGTAACACTGATATCCCTCCCGTCTCCCCCGCCGGTCCCGCCGTTCGTGTGAAGGGTGGAGCTGAGGAGGGAGTTCTCCCGGCCGCGTGCGTCACGCACATCCCTCCCCGAAGGCATCCCCCGTCTGAACACCGCTTTACGGACGCAATCCACTACCGCCAAGACCGGGGTCATGTGAAAAGCGATGGTGCTTAAAGACATTGCAGCCGCTCTCGCCTTGCCAGATTTCTTGCAAGCTACATTGATCCTTGGGCAGTATTCGACGATTTCTGTCGTTATTCGTGCACCCTATGACCGAGCAATGGTGTCCCGATGACCGGGGGACTGTTGTCATCGAAGCCCGTGGCTCTAATTAAGTTTGCGAGTTTAAAACAGAAAAGAAAGCGCGAACGAAGTTGGGGCACAGCCGACACCGAACACCGGCCAAGCCTCTCATCCGGGTCTTTCACTCTTTCTACACAACCAGAAAGGGGGAAAGCGCCGGTAGCCCTTTCCCCTTTTCTCTCTCGCCCTCTTTCAGTAAAACGGTCTATAGACCTTTTCCACAAGGGTGCCACCATCTTGAATTGTCGTCACTTCCAGTATGGGCGAAAACATTGTTTTGCCGTCGCCACGCCAAAAGAAGACATTTAGGATATAAGCCTAACCGTCACACATTCTCGTTTTGGCTCCCCTCTATTTTTTTGCTAGTTACAGGTTGAAACGTTTTAATATTTTGTCGCCGCCCATACTGGAAGTGACGACAATTCAAGATGGCGGCGCCCCTGTGGAAAATGTCTATACAAGGACACCGAAGAGCTCCAAGGACCGGGAGAAGGTCGCCACTTTCAACACGCCAGTCGAGTGACGTACAAGCAAACACTTTTTTTTCTTTCTTTTCTCTCTCTCTCTCTTAAGAAGGCGCGGTACCTCTATTTATTCGTCCGTTTCAGCCACCAGATGGCGCGCAGCTCGAAACGTGGTTGAACGCGCAACTTCTAGATGGCGCCAGTATCGAGGTGTGAAAAGGCCCGCGTTATCCGCTGCGTGAAATAGATCCCGAAATGTGCCGTGTTCTCCTGGCGGAGGAAGTTTCTCCCTCCCTCGCGCGCGCTTGGTATGTACGCGCGGTGGCCGAGTCGGCCTCTTCGCTGTGTGAAGCAGATGGCACTCGTTTCTGTTCGGAGGTAGGAATAAAAATGCCGGTCCCCTTTTTTACGACGCTCGTTTCTATAGCTTGTTTTTCTTTTTTTTTCTATCTCAAGTGACCTACAGTACCGCCTGTTCGAAATCGTCCTTTGCGGTGAGCGATTGAGAGTCAGGTTAGCATTTTATTTGGGTCAGCACCACACGTTCAATGGAGACCTCGGGTGGCGAAGTAAATATGCATTGCTCCCCAATGTGTGTCCAAGGTGCGCAATGACAATCGGAAAGGGTATTGAAGGCGCGCGACCGTCGGTTGATAAAATACGTGCGTTAGATTCACTTATTCAGTCTAATCATTTTTGCCAACGTCTTTTATCTGTTTCGACAAATGACATGGTCGAGTCTATTGATAACCTTAGCTAGATTGGACGTACCGAGTGTCCGGGCTTCAAATAAATTTGCTTCGTTTATGTGAATGAATAACTGTTTTCTCTTTTCCGTGCTCGGTGCTATGCAAAAATCGCTGAGATGTTATGGTAGCTCAGTGTGGCGGCGTTTTGCACGCTGACTCGCTATTGCATTCGCTGTGCACAATATGTGTTGAGATCGAATGTGCCAAATCGTATTTCCGATCGATATGATAGATTTACTTTGCTACAGTGTTAATTATATTTTCCTGATTTAAACTGGTTCGTCCCTGATCTGATCCTAAGTTCAAATTCGAAGGGCAGACAGACTTAGCGTCGTAACAGCCGTAATGCGCAGAAAGAAATTAGTACCATGAAAGAGAAACAAAAGGATACGAGGTGGCTCAGTGTTATAGAAGTAATGAGTGTGCAAAGGATGCCATCGTACGTGTTTTTTTTTTTTTTTTTAACTCCGCATCGCTGGGAAACGCTCAAGGTACCAGCAAGACAGCGAGCTGGCGTGAAATTTCCATCGAGCGGAAAACGAGTGTCATTTTTATTTCATCATGCGCTTTCATTTTGATATGGCTCAAAATGGGCGCGAAATAGTAACAGGTAAGGCAACAAAATTTAGATGTTAGGTCTGGAGCACCGCCATACTCAGCCGTGTTGGGGGCATCTCTCGCGAGTCAATACGGCAAAGGTATTGCGCGTCGAACTGTACGTGAGAGTTATCCATTTCAGCGAAACCTTGATTTCGCAAAACTATTGTGGCTCGAGTCGTGGCTTCCAGTATCGTTCTCCCAACTTTGTTGAAAAGGGCATGAAAGCGCGTAACCGTCACTTTTTTGAAGTTCTACTTAGAGGTGAAGTGTTTACCGTAAAAAGTCGTTAATTATTTATTTTTTTTCGTTCCACTACAAAGCTCAATTCACTTAAATTTTTGTTTTTATATCGTCTCTA